GTTCCTGACATCCAAATGTTAGAGCTGCAGGAAATACATAGATGGTGATTTCAGGGTTTGTTTTTTTCCTGTGAGAATTTGCTTCTAGAAAAGAGCACAGCTGCCTGAAGCATTTTTAACTTTATTTTCTTAGCTGATTTTTTTTTTCTTTCTATCTTCACTGTTGGAATTTGGTCATTTGCAATTGGGAACTGTGTTTTGCGGGGGAGGGGTGGAAAGAACATCTATTTCAGTGCATTTAGGTACTTAAAAGTAGACAAATTCTGTTCAGATGAGGGATGGGACTGGCATCCTCCAGTCTGCCAACTCAAGGTATGCCTCAAGGAGAGGAAGTCTCAGATTGAACCCTAATTCAGAGTTTATTAACGAGAGACTCACGCACAGTTTTACAACCTTCTCTGTAAACTTGTTGCAATCCTAGCTATGTCCTTTTGGGAGTCTGACTAGCTCTTCTGTTGCAGGTGACTTTGGGGCAGATGGGAGGAACAACTCTATGGCAGGATTGAGCTGACCTTCTCTTTGGAGTCCTATCAAAAGATGGACTCTTTCCATAGTTCTTTGCCCCAGAACTAGTTGAAATCCAAAGTCTTGAGTGCAGTGATCAAGGGTTTAATTGCTGAGATACCTCCATATCTGGATTTTTCCTATTTCATTCATATATTGGTGAAGGTGGGGGTGCAGGTGCAGTATTTGACCTCAGATATATTGAACACTACTCATTTTATCAAGAAAAAAGCATGTCTCACATCTGTGATGCTGCATGGCTGACCATCATGTTGATGAGGGAAGTTAGCTCAGTTCCTGGTGGCTGGCTCAACAGTTTGGGCATTCATGACACTCTAAAATGCAGGTCGCCATACCCCACAGTCCGTATAGGCCCTGCTGGTGAACTTTAGATGTTTCTAAGAGTAATGAACATTCACATGCATGTCATAGCAGCCTGGGGTATTTTTTAAAATATTTTTTTTTGTTTTTTATTCTTCTTAGACACACATGACAATTTTAAAAGTAAATTATACACAATATAGCACCCCTTTTCAATCATATGGTTTTGTATTTCTTATAAATCTTTTGCTATGTAATCTCTCCTGAAATTAAAGAAAATACAACAGGAAAATTATCCAGAGTGATTTCCCCCTATAATATGCTTCTTGTAGCAACAACTTGGGTTTACTCCAGGTTTTCTGTAAAATTGTGTGGAATATTTTACAAAAGAATAGACGAACCAATGGTTCCAGACATTAGCATGGGCTTCCAGAAAAATCTCATATAGCACTGCTTACTGAGAAAAGTTGGATGGTGGGGAAAATCTGTGCTGTCTTTATAGCATAACTAGGAATTATTATCAATAAATTAGACCAATAATTGCATCCTCAAGGATAGTATGGTATTATCAATTCCCTTCTTAGGAACTACTAATTACTAATGAATAACTATGTGTTATTGTTAACAACAAGGTCTTTGCTTTATATCAATTTATCTCCCAGGTTCTAGTTTAGATAGTAAAATTTAGATTATTTGTGATGGTTTATTTTAAATTCTCTAAACTTTCCAGTCCACTCTATAGGAAGAGACCTAGATTCCATGAGTATTTCACTAAGCAATGTCAGTAAAGCATTTTTGTGAGGCTGAGTAAATATGGTTTAGACACATTGTTCTCTAACATTTTTAAGACCTGATACTATGCCAGTTATGAGTACAGAAGTAGATTAAATATAGAAGTCATGAAAATACTTGGGATTTCAAAATACCAAAAAAATGCTTTTTTTCCTCTGCTATAATTATGTGTAAATGAAGTTTCTAAAATTGGCACCAATGAGAAGTGATTTGGATGTGGAAATCAACTTCTTGGGAAGAAAGGAGAAATATTAAATTGTAGGGAGAAAAGAAAGCTAAGAAACCTGAGGACTGAGATATAAGTGAAAATCATGCACTGGTACTTGGCACTTACAATATTAGAGCAATTATTCAATTGACAACTAGAATATTGAATATAAGTGATCATCAGCTCATACATCACTAAAAACATTTTGCCATTTAAAAAAAAAATCAGGCCTTATTTTACAACATATGCAAAAAACAACCAAGGTGACTTTAACATAAAAAAACTATAAAACTTCAGGAAGAGACCATGGAGGAAATCTTGATAGCATTGGTCTTTACAATGACTTCTCAGATATGACATCACATGCACAGGAAACAACAGCAGAGATAAACAAATGAGAGTGCATTAAATTGAAAAGTTCCTGCACAGCAAAGAAAACCAACTATTGGGTGAAAAAAAATCAAACCGCAAAATGGGTGAAAATATTGAAGCCATGTATATAATAAGTCATGGAGACCTACGACCTATGCTTCAACAGTCAGAAAACAAGTTTGAAAAATGAACAATGGACTTGAAGAACCGTTTATCTAAAGAAGATGTGCCAGTGAGTGGCCAGTAAATATAGAAAAGATACTCAACCCTACTAATTATCAGGGAAATGTGTCACAATGAGATCTATGTGTGTCTGCTAGGACAGTCCTTTTTAATGGAAAATAATAAAGTGTTGGTATGGATATATGGAGCTATCAGAACTCTTGTATGCCATTGGTAAGAGTGTAAACCAGTGTAGCTGCAATCAAATTGACTATAATAATTCCTCAAAATATTAAAAATGAAATCACCAGATGATCTAGTAGTACCACTACTGGATATACATCCAGAGGAAATGAAGTCAGGATCGTGAGGAGGTATCTGCACTTGAACGTACATTGCAGCATTACTTGCAGTAGCCAAGACATGGAGACAGCCTAAATGTCTGTCCACAGATGGGTGGATGAAAACGTACATATGCACAATGGAATAAAATTCAGTGATTAAAAAGAAGAAAATCTTGTCATTTGCCACAACATGGATAAACCTGGAAGACATCATGCCAAGTGTAATAAGCCTGCCACTGAAGGACCAAAACTGCATGAACTCACTTATTTGAGGTATCTATACATTTTTATGAGTAATTAAATTCATAGAAATAAAGGAGACTGACTTTTGCCACAGGATCAAAAAAGGTAAATAATTTTTTTTAAAAAGTAGAAACAGATGCTGTTTAATAGGTATAGAGTTTCAGTCATGCACAATGAGAAAGTTCTAGAGGTCTGCTATATAACATTGTGCTCATAGTTAACAATATCCTGTACACTAAAAATTTGGTTGAATGTAGATCTTGTGATGTTTTTATCACAATAAAAAAGCTTAGACCTTAGGATTTATTTAGCTTGAGTTGTTCAACATACATGGCATATAAAATAAACAACATAGAAATACCTGTTAAATGAGGTATTATATGGGTTGATATATGCTGGGGTTTTGTTTTTGACATGGATTTTTTTAAAACACTATGAGTAAAACAGTTTGTATCCTTTGAAAATGATTTCATCAATTACTTGATCTCAAGGTATCAGACTTGGAGCAACAAGGTCTTTGCTTTATATCAAGTACAACATTTCTAGAAAAGAAGAATCCAAGCCTCTCCCTCAGACCTTTTCTCAGGTGGTATGTCTTCCCCAGGGTCTTCAAGGTACTCAGGGACTTGGGGAAAGAGGCAGAGTCTCTTGTATTAGTACTTTCATTGGTGTTTCTCCTCTGAAAACCTTCAGTAGTTCAGAGGGGACCCTCACGAAGGGGAAGAAATGGGGTCAGACCCAACATCCTCCCACTGAGTTTCTGTGACACTACCCAGGCCAGATTCAGGCACTACCAACAGAATCCCCTGTGTGCCTTAAGAAAGTGTAGAAGTAGACTGCTGGCCCTTCTTACCTGTGGCTTCCTCATCAGCAGATTCATCCTATGTGAATCAAATAATACTGAGAAAAAAAAATGCGTATGTACAAAATATGTAGAATTTTTTCTTGTCTTCATTCCCTAAACAATATAACATAATAAGCATTCACATAGCATTAGGTATAATCAGCAATCTAGAGATGATTTAAGAATATAGGAAATTATATGCAGGTTATATGCAAATACTGTCTGTGCCATTTTATATAAGGAACTTGAGCATCCTTGGAGTTTGGTATATCTGCAAAGGTCCTGGAACCAATCACCCAACAGCAGACACCAAGAGATGATTTATTCAGATTTGAATTAACTCTTATTTTTTTAAATGTTTTTCCCCTGTCTTTTTTTCTTAATATTTATTTTTTAGTTATAGGTGGTCACAATATCTTTATTTTATTTTTATGTGGTGCTGAGGATTGAACCCAGTGCCTCACACATGCTAGGCAAGCACGCTACCACTGAGCAACAACCCCAACCCCAAGTAGCATTGTAATTTTTTTGGGGGGGGTGGTACTGAGAATTGAACCTAGGGCCTTGTGCATGTAAGGCAAGCACTCTACCAACTGAGCTACATCCCCAGCTCTTGAATTAACTTTTAAATCTTCAAAAACCATCAGATTTACATTGAAAACTGAAAAAAAAAAAATCCCAGGAGCATATTTAAACCAAAATTTAAAAATTCTTTTAAAAACTGAAGTGAGAACTCAAGCAGATGTATTTTCTTTTTAATGAAGGTAGAGATGAACACATACTCTGATAAGACATTTTTTTAAAGTCTGTTGCACAGTTCTGGGGAATCTGATGAATTACAGAATGGAAGGAAACAGTAGTTGAAAGTACTGGTGTTGCATCCTGGTGACTGACTTTTATTGCTGTAATGGTACTTGTGGAAGTGAGTAAAACGTCCCACTATGAATGATGATCATCAAACACGCCTGAAAGAAGAGGGACAGTTTTTGAGGGAAGCACACTGTGGTGTTTCTGTATGTCCCATGATGCGCCTTTGGACGGGTTTGCACTCATTAGTAAGAGGTTAAGGCTGCTCTCCACCGCGTGGAGAGTTGCTGTGTTTAATGTCACAGTTTGGCTGTGCTCCTTTCTTTCCTTGTCTGAGACTGCAGTGTCATTCTTCACTCACTCATCACCCTCCTGTTTCTGCCCTGCCCCCATGTCTCCACAGATCATTTTGTGTTTCTCTCCTGTTGGTCACACGCTGAGAGTGAGAGCTCGGAAGTTCCCAGCCATAGTCAACTGCACTGCTATTGACTGGTTTCACGCGTGGCCAAAAGAGGCTCTGGTCTCCGTCAGCAGGAGGTTCATTGAGGACATTGAGGGGATTGAGGTATGCTGGGTCTGCCTGAGTCCTTGTCTCACATGCAAACACCCTAAAAGTCCTCAGACATAACCAAAATACTCCTCTAAAAAAGCCATCCTTATTTAAGGTGATAAAAGCATCTGTGGTTTGCATTTAATGGAATACAATAACATTTCGTATGGAGACGGAGGCACACGGAGCACACTGGAGTATGTCCACATCATGTTCTGACTCATCCGAAGGCCAAGGCCATCCTTCATTAAATCATACTGGGCCTTACTGAATATAAACCCCTTAAGTTGACAACTAAAAACCTAAACCAAAGTGTTGTCACCCTTAGCCAAGGCATGCTCGATTTCTCACTGCATAAGGCAATTTATTGTGATTATTCTCGGGACAGTATTGGCCCCATCAGTTTCACAATAATATATCTGCTTACTTGTATTTTGAATATGTGTGTTATGGGGTAGGTTTGTCATTTCTTCTTTATGAAATTTGTATATGTTTTAAAATTGTTGCATGAAAGGTGGGGGGACCTTCAGGCATTCAGATTCAAAGAAAAAGAAATATAAACATGAAGCTGCAGTTAGATTTCCTAGAGAGGAAGTTTTATTTGTGAGCAGTGCCTTTCTGATGAGGTAGTTCAGGAAGGTGCTGGTGGCAAACATTTCCTAGAGAGCATTGTCTTCCTGCTCCACAGAGTGATAAGGTGAAAGGCACCTGGAATAGGTCCCACATTGAAAGTGACTCTCAGAGCGGGAGGTGGAATTAGGGGTCTGGGAGGGGTGATGTCAGTTCCTCAAGAAAGTTGATAATGAGCAGCCGGTTGTCATCTTCCTCAGTCCATAGGGCATAGCTACTACCTTCCAGAGCAGTCTTTGAACATTTTGTTGAATATCACATCTTTTGATCACCAGATGGTTAAATATCCAGGCATATTTGCATATTTAATTAATTTTTTATATGCAGCTAGCTTTATTGGTTGTTACATCATTTTTCCTTTGCCACTTTTTTTTTAAAGTAGCTGTGTGGTTAAGCACACAAGCAAATGTTCACTTTCACCTCCAGAATTTTGTAGAGGGGAACCTCTTTGGTCTTCTCCTCAAATGTTTGTTAAATCTAATTATGTCATGCTGGATTGCCAGGAGAGAACCCAAGCAGTAGCATTGAACTTGGAAGATTCATGTACAATAGATCCTTTAGGCATTCAGCTGCCTCTCTCTCCCTCTGTTCTCCACAATCACACTTACAACTTTTCCACTAATAAATAGAGAGGGAAATTATGTCTGCTAAAGGCTTACAGAAATCTTTTACACTTTGGTTAGTTTAGTAAAGAAGGAAAAAGAAGCAGAGTACTTTGTTTCTGAACTTTACTTTCTCAAGCGGTAGGAAGCCGGAGCTCACAGCATGGTTTAAGCTGATATTTGGCACAGTACTTTCGCAAGTTGCTTGTCTCTGGCTGCCTCTTGCTGGCTCTGTCCCATGAAGGTAGGTGCCACTTTGAAAACTGTTACCATGGAAGCAGCTTTGATATGCCAGTGACCATTGACATCTGCTGGATGAGGCAAGATTTGCATCATTGGAAGTCCAAAGGGCTCCTGCCAGGTGCTAAGCTCTGTCTGATGGTGTCATGACGCCTCCTATAGGATTCTGAGAGCCAAATAAGAATTTTGAAAGCACTCTACCCTTTCTATCAAGCTGAATTATGCCTCGAAACAAATTAGCCAGATGATTTCATTTCAGTGCAAGGTGCTTATTTAACTTTCCCACCTTCCTAATTTGTCGCTCAGGAGCAATAATTATGATTCACAGTGCCGTGTGTCCGTGTTCTCCTAAAAACATGTGGTGTCTTTTCTGTAGAGGTCAAAAACAGCTTTTAAATTTTTTGAATGAGTACTAATTTGATCACTTTCTTAGTTTTAATTTCAATCATTAAGACTGAAAGTTATCACTATAATTTAGGCACTTCTTAATTATCGACCTGATTTGATGAGTGTAAGGTATTTATACAAGGTGACCCCCTTTGGCCACAGAGGAAGGATTCATTAACAGCAAGCAGTTTTATGTAAGTTGACATATAATTTTTCCATCAATACACACTCAGCACCCAGTGGTATGGGTTCACTGCATCTAAATAAATGTTTGTGTTATTTTTCAGTTACCTGACACTGACTGAGTGATAGCTATCCAAAAAAAAAAAAAATTTTTTTTTTGACCAAAACATTTTGACACTTAAGTGTCACCAGATATTTATCTCAAGACTTTATGTCAACATACACCATTTCTCATAGGAGATTTGAAAATGGAAATAGGAGGAGGTACTGTAAGGAGAGAGAAAGGGAAAGGCCCTCTGCCCATCCCTGGGAGTAGGGTTGGAAATGCTGTGGGAAGCAGCACACTGGGGAGGTGTTTGGGTAAAGACCTTGGTGATTTGTTAGTGTATGGGTTCCAGTTAGGAACATGCAAGAAGGCACAAGACACTAGGCATTAAAAGAAAAGCAGCAATTTTTGCTTCTCAGGACAAAACGAGCAATGGACATACTTGAAAACATGGCAAATAAAACGAGAAGTTAGTTAATGGAAATTTCTTAGATGAACTGCCTAGGGGTGAGATTTGTGTTGGGAAGTGTATAGATCTGAGCAAGATGGAGGAGCACAACCTTTTCAGGCACAGGGGCTAACTGGAGAGTTAAAGCTGTCTGCCCTAATGTGATGCCACTTACATGTGATCACAAAGCTTGGCGCCATCAGCCTTTTCAATAAAATGCAATTATTCTCCAGGCTCCCACCTCTTCAATCCAGAATTCGTTCTAGAGTTTAGCCTATGAATGATGTGTGTTGCTACCATTTTCCAAAAACAATCAAGAGATGTTCACTCAAAGAGGAAGGTCATTTTACTGCTATATTTAAAGACTTACTTTTCCAGTGGGTTCTTTTAAAAATTCTTGGGTCAAACAGGAACGGTATTAACATTTTTTTCAGTGATAGCTATGTTTATTAATTATTTTTACCCCCATTTTTTCTCTAAAATATAAATTAGGATTAATAGATATGAATAAAAAAGAAAATCTCATGGTATGGAAATTATATGAATTGGGGAGAAATGTCCTTTTTGTAAAGAATATGAAAACCATTTGGAAATATCAGTACAAAAACAAATACAACCAAATTGATCTTGAACCAACCTAAATCTCATCCAAGCTTTTGGGTGAGGAAAAACCCAAGTAGTTTCAACATCCTTTCCCATTCCTCTGTCCTTTCTCCTTTACCCACTCACATGAGGATCTGTCCATCCTGTATGCCTTGCTTGGTGCATGTTAATTGAACTGAGAATGGAGCTGCAGAAAGGAGAAGAGCACTCCTTTCCAGGAGTTACTCAGCTTTGTGAACTTTAGGATTCACTTTTAACAGTAAAGCAGAGTCCCACTTTTATGGTCACCCAGGAATCTGGATATACTTTAAGCCAGAAGCTTAACTCGTGGAGCCGTGAGCCCTCCAAGTCTGTGCTTCTGTGACTTTCTCAGGGTGCAGGCTTACCAGAACCACCTCTACCATCTTTGTTTTATTGTTCTGTTAGGGAATAAAAGCTACCTCTTTCATGTTTAGGAACAGGTCAGGAAGACCATTGGTTTAGGCTGAACTTGATCTTCCTTTGACCAGTATGAGAGCTTCAAAATTAAAAACAGAAAAATTAAAAGCATAAGCAAACTAACAAAGTGCATTCACCAGACAAAGTAACAAATGGGAACCCCCCCCACAAAAAAAAAATTACAATGCAATTTAGAAAACCACGTTTGCTGTCACAGTTGACACCTGTTGCTGCACTGCACAGTGGCGATCCTATCGGTGGCACTGCCACCCTGGGGCTAGTACTGCCCTGATCTTGCATTGCTTTTCTCTCCCATCAGTACTGTCATGAGGGGCCACTGGTTGCCTTGTCAACAGGTGAGGGATAGCCTATCCTCAAGCTAGCAAGGGCTCACCTGCTGCTGGACACCAGAGCCCATCATTGTCCCTCCTCATCTGGACTCTATCTCCAATGTTTGACTATTTCGAAAGAAGGAAAAGAAACAATAAAAAGGAGTAATTTTTGAGGGTAGGAGGAGGCATAGGGAATGTAGCAATGTACCCTGTTTTTCAGACCTCCAAATTTAACCTACATCCTAAGCCCTGCTCCTTGGCCGCCCCCAAGATGCTTTTCTGATGCTCTGAGATGCACAGGAGTCTTGGTAAAATGTGGTCCTGCTCATCTTATTCTTGATTGCATTTTCATTATTTAATAAATCACCTTAACTATCACAAGGGTCTAAATAATATATTCTCTTTTACCAGCCCCCAAATGAGTGAAATATAAAATAGATTTTATAACTCAGCAGTTTGACATTTCAAAAAATTAATACAGAAAAAAATTTCTGAGAAAAACTTTCAAGACTTACTATAGATAAGAATTATCCCAAGTTTAACTTCAAAAAAAGAAAAAAGATTCTTTCAATTGCCCCATTCCATTTGCTTTTTCCCCTTCCCTCCCTTGAAAACAATATTTTTGCAAGTCTAAATTTAATTTTACAGACGCATATAGTTGTTTTGGCTGGTCTCAGGAAGATATAAAATCCTAAATATTTGATTTAGTGCTGGCCTCTGGGTATTGGTGTCATTCAACTCTGCTGTCAGGTGTTTTCAACAAGGTGATCATAGTGGACACTCGCTCGGAGAGTCAGGTGGCCAGGGTACTTGGTGTGGCAGCAATGTTCCTGCTGAAGAACGGAGAACAGAGAACTGCCACACCAAGCAACAGAGAGTTGTTTGTGTGTTTACAGTGAGCCAGTGGAGAAACTGGAAATTATACTCTTTCTCTTAATGTAAGGAAAAAAGCAGTTTCATCTTGGCATATGATGATTCAAAGCAGACAGCATTGTTTTCCAAAGCAGCTTGGTGGGGCAACCTTGAATTTGTAACCATTTGAGGCTGACACTCTGCTTATTTTTATTTTTGACCTCCCCATGATTGGTTATGGAATGACTTACAGAGTGGCATCAACGGACGTTCACGAAGGGGCCAAATCTAGCAGGAATGATGTTCTTCCCTCGAAGTGAAAAATACAGTGTTACGCTGCCATCGCTGCAGTCCCGCAGCCGCCCTCTTGGCTCCCCCCTCAAAAGAAAACTGGAGATAAATGAATGGCAGAATAAATAATTTATGCTAATGAAATTACTGCAATTAGTAGTTCTACAATGACCCTTTTAAAAGCCACAGCTGTTAATGTCAGGAAGTGCTGTCACTACTGACCTTATCATAAGAGAAAGTGACAAATTGAGAATGCAGGGAAGACCAGTCATCAAAGAGGTCTGTTCTGGACCGATTAGAGTTTTCTGAAAAACAGTGTGAATTACAACCAGCTGCTCCCTGGCTCCTCCAGGCTCCCATGCTGTGCCATTTTGTTAAGCCCGATAACAATAGTTATTTTGCCCCATTGAGACAAGTTGTCTCGGGCCACTTCCAGCTCTACCGGAAACCACTTTTTCCATAGGAGACTTACAAATGAAACTGTTGTTAAAGAGAGCTTTCAGTGCCTCCGAAGAGCCTCCTCATAAGGATCATGGTTGGGCAGAGGCCAGGGATTTTTTTTTTTTTTTTTTTTTCTTTTTCTTCCTGTAAGGAGGTTACACTTGGCTGAGGAAGTATTTATCTGTGTTGTAGAAAGGTATGTGTGCACTGCTAACTCCAGTTAAAACAAGACTGGGCAGGAGTGAATTTCTGTTCATGTTTACATTGAAGCCAGGCTCTTAAAAAAAAATCCCCAAGGGAATAGGATTTAGATGAAGTTTATAGAACTTCCTTGTAAATTCCATTTTTCTGACTCCACTATTTGATAATGAAACAAAGACAAATTCAGGATTCTCACCTATAAATTTTATATGTAACCTTTGCTGAAACACTGTTTCAGTCACTAGTAAGATGGATTTTTAATACACAGAACAATCAAATCATGTGCGGGTTTTATACCCATGTAGAGATTTTTATTTTCACAAGGTTGGAAAGCTGTGTGTTTAGAGATGTTGCTCAGGAACAGCTGTTTTTCCCCCAGCAAGAATCGCCCTGTCTCTCCTGGCACCTCTGGTTGTAATATTGATGGTGCAGATTTGAAGCATTTAACTGCATCACCAGCCACTTGTGTGCAATGTTCCCAAAGACGTCTGAGCATTATTGACAACACTTTGGTAAATTATGTGTGACTTTCCTAAGAGTTGGTGTAGCTCATTTAATTCATATTAATTGATTTTTAGGCTCCCCTTGATTAATTGAACCTGGTTCATCTTGTACAGAATGCAATAAATAATCATTAAAATGAGGGAGATGTGACTCCACAAATTAAAAAGTTAACTACTTCAGAAGTCACAGAGGACACAATGGAAAGAATGGGTAGTGGGGGTTGGGGGCACAGAAGGAAATCTTCAAAGGAGAATTGTTCTGTTTTGTGTTTTATTTGGAGGTAGTGTCCCCCGCCCCCTCAAAAAAAATTATCATGATTTTTTTTCCCAGAAGCAGTGGCTTTTAAAAGCTTATTCAGTTTAGTTTTTTGTAGTTCTCATAACACTCTACTTGTCAATTTCAGCTTTTGTTTTTCCCATGATTTTGAAAGGTTATCAGTTTTCTTTGTCTGAAGTTTAGCTTGAAAGCAACATCAAAAAAAAAAAGCCTCAGAATATTGTGTCTCTAATTTCTGTTTCACACACTTGATAGATAAAAACGAAGTTGTAAAGAACAATACTTATATCATATGTTGGCTTTTGAGTTTGGTATGTGGAGCACATAAAATTCCTTGATCATACAGAGTTGGTAGATAGATGGTTAGAAAAGTTGGAAGCTGTATTATAATCTCTCTAGTCCTGTGGATATCTCTTAAAGATTAAGTAAGTCTTCCAGTTTCTACTGTAATTTGTGCTGGAAAAAATTTTTAGGGGAAAAAATACTGTATAATTTTGTTGCTTTTTCTTCAATTTTTTTAATTTATAATTTTAACTTGAAAGGATTTCATAAAAATGCAATGTTTGTTTCCAGCCACTGTACAAGGATTGCATCAGCCTCTTCATGGCACATGTTCACACCAGTGTAAATGAAATGAGCACCAGGTATTACCAGAATGAGAGAAGACACAACTATACCACCCCAAAGAGTTTTCTAGAACAAATATCACTCTTTAAGAACCTACTAAAGAAGAAACAAAAAGAAGTTTTCCAGAAGAAAGAGCACTTGGTGAATGGCATCCAGAAGCTAAAAACCACTGCCTCTCAGGTATGACCAGGGTGTGCTCCCACAGAGTGAAACCTCTGCTCTTGCATAGAAAAACATGTTTCCTTTTGAAGCAGTGCCTGCCACATTTATACAAGATGCCTAGCTTTTAAATTTACAGCTTGAGGACACAAGGGATACATTATTACTGCTTTCCTGTCCAGAAAGAACAGGCCAGTTATTCTTTCACAACTGGTTTGGGGAGATACTTTCTCTTCTCTGCTGGAGCCCATGCAGGGCAGTGTGGGGTGTTGAAGGGGCAGACGCAGCCCATTTCCCTCTCCTGCCTCTGACTTCTCTGGGGCTCTGCTCTTGTGGTCAGGAGTTTTGCCATCCTAGAATGGAACTAGAATCACTTTTTGTCTCAGGTACTCAACCCTGATGAGGGCATCATTACCTGGCTGATGATGGGTGAAGTCCCCAAGTACAGCAGTTTTCTCTGACCTTGGTATCTGGTGTGCTGCTTTTAGTCCAAGTTCTCTAGGGTAAACATGCTCAGTAATGTCTTCATCCTCAGTAGTAAGGTTCCTACTATCTCCAAGGACCATATCTCTAACTTGCAGGTATAAAGCAGGAGAGATTTAGCACATGATATTAATCTCATTTCATTGGCAAAACACACAGGTTTGTGAAGTAGATGTTACTGCAGTTTTATACCTGAGCTTAAAGAGTTCAAGGCCAGAGAATCAGGGAGGGGTGGGATTGAACCCAGGTCTGTATTGTTCTATTTGCCCATGCGCTGTCCATGGTACCAAGGTACCTGTCTGTGACTGGTCAAAGGGATTAGAATGGAAGACAATGGAGACTTTGAAGAATAGCTCAGTCTTTCTCTGAGACAGCTGGGCTCTAAGTAAAATAAATTCTCACTGGTGCTCATCTCAAAATCAGAATTACTCATAGGTTTCTCAAAGTTTTGTCATCAGGTGCTGTTCTCATATGCTTTTCCAGGGACAGTTCTTCTTGAGCCCATTTTTTTTTTTTTCCATGAGGGCTGGGTGGCTTATCTGTACCTAGGCTAGAAACAGGGCAAGACCCAGTTGGAGAACATATTTTAGCACTTTTTCACACTATTCTAGCACTCTGCAGCCTGAAGCACCACACAGCTCCTCCTCCTTGTTCCATACACCAGGAACAGCAATGTGATGAAACACTGATCTATAATGAGCTGTGGATGAAATAGGTTGGGCAAGAAAATTCAGAGTTTTCAGGACAGTAGGGACCAAATTCTAAATAGAACAAGTGTGGGGAGCCCCCAAGAGCACAGCCATATCTGCATTTGCTCCTTCCCCTTCCAATATATCTTACTCTTCTTCTCTTCCCCATTCTCGTCCTCCTTTTCTTCCCTCTACTCATCTCTCCTATTCTCTCACTTCAATCAAGATCCTTCCCCTCAGTAAAAGTTTTCCTGGGAGTCCTATTGAGCTAATATGATGTTGAACTAAGGTGATAAGGAAGGAGCTTTGTGTTACCAAGAATTTATATTCTTTTAATGATGCTCCAAACTGAACCTGTTGACTTTGCCCAGGAAATGATAGTGTTGCCACCCAGTGATGAGCTACTGATGGGAAGTCCCTGACCACTACCACCCCTCCAAAAAAAAAAATATCCCTGCCACACTTAGCTCTGTCATTTGTGAAATCAACTCTAAGGGAAAGTGGAATAGTATAGAATCCTGGGTCATCCCGGGGCAGCAGTGTGTCAGCCACAGGGAAGTAAAGAGAGAGTCTGTGGTTTGGTAATCACCCCAGTTATGTATTGGTAAGTCAGGGATGGGGGAGCTGATCCACTGTGTCTGCTGAGTACAGAGCTATGTGGGTCTCCCTGTTCTCCCTCAGTTAATAGGCAGGAAGTTTGTGAAGATGCACAAAGTCTTGATGAAGAAATGCAGGTGGTTTCTTTCTTCGTTAGTTATTTGCATAGGGAATGCTTTTAATAGCAGAAAAGTGGTTGGAATATTTAATAGCTAAGTGATAGGGTTTTTTTTAAAATTCAGTTTATTATGAACAGAAAGTCTAATTGCCTATGTAAGAGAACTGGGGAGCCTCATAGTATAAGAAGAGGTGGTATGTGGAGCAGAAAGCCTTCATTATGGAGCAAGCTCTGTGGGCCTCTCTGCCTTAAGCAATTCCACAGAACCATTGGGAATATAAGTATCTAAACCTTAACAATGTTTATGAATTATTATACAGCTATAAACCCCTTTCTCAGCCATATAACCCCTCTGGATGTCAGCTTAGGTCATCGCAGATAGCTATAGTGACATTTCTTTATCAATAAAAGTCCCCCTCCTAGAGCTAAAGTCACTTTGGATATTTTGGAGCTAACTGCTCCCTTAGAAACTGAAACCAGGGCTTGATGTAACAGTTCCCTAGTCTCTTGGCTAATTCTTTTGACTATAGCCTAAGAAGACTTGTTTCAATGGCTAAAAAGAATAGAGAAGCAAATGTTCACTCTATAAGGTTACCCTGAGTTCATAGAAAAGCTACAAGATCAATCTTAGATTAAACTATCATGATAGAAGCAGCAGTCATGATATGCTTTTGTAGGCAGAGGGTAAGTTCCTGTGTTGGGGTGGGGATTATATGCTTGCTTGGATGTAGTGGGATGTTGTTCTACAAGGTGAGACCACTAACATGTCTTCAGAAATGGAGTCTGAATAAATGTTTGAGTGTTCTTCAAATCTATGATTTTTTTTAAATTTTTTATTGTTGGTTGTTCAAAACATTACATAGTTCTTGATATATCATATTTCACACTTTGATTCAAGTGGGTTATGAACTCCCATAAATCTATGATTTTTAAAAACAGTAATATTCTGGAAAATGGATGGAGAGCTAATCACAATTTCAAACGGCTGAGTCAGTGATTTTTTTTCTCTAGCACTTCACTTTTACTTTGACTTTCATGATCCTCAAACTTAGAAACCTGGTGTGATACCTTGTGAACCTAGTGAAATTACAAATAAAAAATGGGCAGAATCTTTTTTTTTTTTTTAGTTGCTATGTTTGTTGACAACTCAGACTGCACTCCACAAGAGCAGAGTGAGGTGATTTGGTGGTAGGCCAGGAAGAGAAAGGTACATCTGTGGGGCTCACTGAGCTTCTAGCCATACTGTGCTGATACCCCACAAATCGTGTACAGTTTGCCCTTCTTACTAAGTATGAAGTTCAATGTTGGGTTGTCCACATGACCACGAATTAAATGTCATACGAGGTGAGAAAAAATCAAGAAGACCATTTCATGTTAGGTGGGATAAATTTGCAACCAATTACTCAGCAGACAAACAAGGATAATTCATGACTTCAGCTTGTCTGAAGCCTCCAGCCATTTTCTGTTAGGGAATGCCAAGCATGGTTCTTCCAGCTTGCTACCAGACCTGTCTTCCTGTGGCTTCTGTTACCTTGAGCCTGAGCTGTATGGGATCAGAAAAACTGTCATGGAGTGTGTTGGAGACTTCTGTGAGTGCTTCCCCAAGAGCACAGATTGAGTAGCAAAGATAAACTTTTCGGTCTTGCAGATAATCATATTTCCTGTAAAATCACTGAGAACCAGGTGCAATAGCACACACCTATAATCTCAGAGTGCTAGAGACTGAGGCAGGGAGATCATGAGTTGGAAGCCAGCCTCAGCAACTTGGGGCCTAAGCAACTCAGAGTAACATTGTCTCTGAATAAAATACAAAAAGAGCTGGAGATGTGGCTCTGTGGTTAAGCTCCCTAGGTTCAATCCCCAGTAACAAAACAAAAACAAAACAAAAATAGTTGCAAATGAGAGTACAATAAAATCAGGGTAGAAATATGCATGACGCAAACCATTCGAGGTCTCTGAATCCATGCTAAAAAGCAAAGCTGAATCTGCTCTTTGTTGTTGTCAACACAAGTTACCCCAGAGTAATGACTTTTCCTTTAGGTGGGAGATCTGAAAGCCAGACTTGCCTCTCAAGAAGCCGAGTTACAGCTGAGAAATCAGGATGCTGAAGCTCTGATCACAAAGATCGGGCTTCAGACGGAGAAAGTGAGCCGGGAAAAGGCCATCGCGGACACCGAGGAGCGAAAGGTCAGGCTAATTCCCCCACTTAGAGTGCTGAGCTATATTTAGCACAAAATAAACCTTTGTAGGTGAACAATTTTGAACAACTTCCTCTCCAGGGAGCATAAAGTCTAAAGAATTATTATAGCTACACATGTAACAGCATTTCACACCATGATTACCACTTGACCTTTCCTTACATTATGCATTTTCCCAACCTTTTAGCTCTTTTAATGATATGAAAGAACAATAAATACTGAGCTCATTCAAGCATATAATGGATGTGGATCTTGAACATCAGGCCTATTTGTAATACAGTAAAGGTCAGGAAGTCACCTCTGAGGTTTCAAAAGGTTTTCAGTTTTTAGGCAAATTGAACAACTCAATTGTTAACAAAGCCCATTCCGTCACTTTGCAAGATGGTTTTCAAATTTTGCATTTTAATAATATAACTGGAGTTTATTATTAAGTCCTAAGCTAAATTTGTTCTTTTTGATTCAGTTGAGGCCCTGGCATTCTGTATTGTATTTTATTGTTGGAAACAATTATTTTTAAGATTATATAGTCTGCTTTCTTTGTACTCGGGTTTCAAGTGATTCTGAAATAAATACAACTTCATTTTTGTCTTCTTGAGCTGCAAATGGAAAACAAAAATTCTTATGTATCTTATTTCACAAAAGAAATAGCATAGTAAACAGATAATCAATAAATATTCTTTCTAGAAATTGTGGAGTAGACATTTCTTATTTTAGACAAAAGAACATAACCAGGACCTAGTTAGTAAAAATTTTTAAAAAAAATTGTAAATTGCATACACTCTCATTGATAGGCTTTATGTCATTATCCTTGCATTTTAGGATACGAGAACATATTTGAGTTTTTCTGGTGGTGTTGCCAGTCATTAGTGTATAATCAAGTTGTGTTTTTTTTTTCCTCTAACATATCATGCATGTTTTCCTTTATCTTACACAACTAAAGGCTAAAAAATACATTGAAAATCAGAACTCTAAACAAACAATTTTAAAAAGATACAGCATATTTATAATTGACAATAAGGCACATTTAGAATGACCCATAGGTATACAATTTCTAATTTGATAATAAATGTTGCCATTGTGTTTCAGGTAAGTGGAGAATGTCCTTAAAAGTATCATATTAAGCAATTAGATATCATCCAGGTGTGATTATCATAAGCTAATTCCACCCAGGAGATATTTTTTAGGCATTATAAAAATGTATGAGGTTCTAGTCATTATTATAACCTATTGCCACGGATACCTTTTGGAGGTCTTAAAAAAATGACAGGTATTCTAGGAGTATTTTCACAAGTGAATTCCTAAGGTAAAATCCTCATAAAGTAAAAAGGTGTTAGCAATTAGAACTCCTTTGATATATTGTTTTCTGAGGTTCATCAAACATGAAAAAGACATGTACTATAATGTATATCTAATCCATACCAAAACTTATACACACTTTCATTTTACCCATGGAGCTTAATTATAAACAAACATTAACTGAGTTTTTGTTTTTGTTTTTTTGTTTTGTTTTTTGGGGCCAGGCCCTCTTCTAGGCTCTTGGAGATACTTGACAAGCTAGGTGCACTCATGTAGCTTACATTTCAATGGAAAAGACTAACAGGAGACAAAATAACACTTCTAGAAACAATATATTATGAGTTAGATAAATGCTCTGACATAAATCTAATAGAAGTAATAGTAGAAGGAACTACTTTAAATTAGGTGATCAAGGGAAAGGTCTATTTGTAATTAAACTACATAGAGGCAAGCAATTAACTAACACCTGAGTGCATGCTCTGGGCTCACACATGTCGTGTTTAGCAGTGTGCTAGATACTATGCAGTTGCTCAAAGGGGCAAAGGTGGACTCTCTGATTCTGTGAAATTGGGCTCCTCAGGCTTACTCCATGAGCCATCATTGTGAACTGCTCAGTTCACAAAGTACATTGTCACATTTAATATGACTAAACATATGTTGAGGTTTAGAGGCTGACAACCCATATAGAGAAGCAGGTTCAAATTATTGTTTCAAATTTTATGAAACAAGAACCATTCTTGTGACCAGCAATGACTTCAAGCAGCACAAGTACCCGTAAGCTTATGAAAATCTGTTCTCTTTCCACCATTGACTTATCAGCCCAAATTCTGAAATTCTAATGGTTCTGTGATAGCTTTCAAAATATGGTCCTCATGAGTAGCAATACCTTCCAAATTTAAATGATATAATATATTCTCTTCAAAAGCTGGATCTCCTTTTTGATTTTTGAATGGCTTTTAGTTTGTATGTGGGTTTTTTTTCCTAAATGTGGGTGGGTCCAGGTTTTGGAGGGCCATCAAGAGTTTCATATAGTCTGAAAGCAGGTAAGAGCAGTGTGTTAGTTTGCTAGTGCTGCCAGAACAAACTGTCACAAACTGGGAGGCTTCAATCACAGAAATTGTTTCTCCACAGCTGTGGCGGCTGATGTTAAAATCAAGGTTTTATCAGGCTTGCTTGCTGCTGAGGACTGTCTCTTTGGCTTATAAATGGCTGCCATCTTACTCTGTCCTCACCTGGCCTTTTCTGTATGAACACTCACCCCTGATGTCTCATTTATGTTTCCAAACTTCCACTAAGAACAACAATTAGATTAGGGCTCACCTGAATGGCCTCATTGTAGCTTTATCACATCCGTGAAGCCCCTATTACCAAGTAGAATCACATTTTGAGGTACTGGGCAGACACAGTACAGCTTATAACTAAGCAATTTGGGGAACTTTATTCTCTGTGTGAGAACCACAAAATTCTGTGAGCATCTTCAAGGAGCTGTTGATTACTAAATAGCAAAAGATTTTTGGTGTACCCAAGGATGAAACCGTCTTCAACTCTGCTTTAATGACCATGGTAGAGGGAAAGCACACCTCCTAGGCAATCCAGAAAGCTCTTCCCTCTTCTCCAGGTTGAGCCTCATCAACCCTATCCAGGAACCATCAGGTAGAGGAAATTGCATGCTGTAGTTGACCAAGTCAATGAGATATAGCAAATTTTCAGCATTCTGGTATAGTTGCACCTTAGGGTAAGAGGTAATAGAAATAAGTTGACCAATGTAGAGTGTTTTCTTCCTTTGTGTTTGTGGGGTTTTATTTAGTGTTCACGATTATCTTGTTTATAAATGTAACTCAAAGGAATAATACTCCATTAACGGTCAAGGGCTCCAGAGGATAAGAGTGGTTGCACCCCCGTCTCTTAGAAATAGCACTTAAAAGAACTTCTCTGTAAGGTTTCTCCTAGTACTAAAAGGCTATAATCCTGAGGACCAGAGGTGTGTCTCATAAATAGGGTGCTTTCCAAGCATGCCTACAGTCCTGGGTTTAATCCCCACCACACACACACACACACACACACACACACACACACACAAAGTCTAGGATTTTAAATCCAATTTTAAGTGATTTTAAAATGATGCCATGCTTTCTTTCATCTGAAACTGTATTCTCCAGCACACTGAATTTTTTTTTAGAATTTTCATGGTCCATTCCTGGCAGTGTTTGAGGGTTGTGATTTTGGAGTGGTTCTCAGTAAGCATGCAGAGTTTTCTTATTTACATTAACAGTAGCTGTGCATGCATTAGCAGGAGATCACATATCTACCCCGAACCAATTATGTTCATAAAAGGTGCAGTATACAGCAAAATAATGGTTAATCAGGAGAAGGGTAATTACCACTAATAAAGCTGTAGTAGACAACATAATTTGTTGTGAGCAGTGTTTAATTTTATGGTATGGTTAAACCTGTTCATTCCAAACCTATCTGAAGAAATTCACTTTTTGTTCACACTTGTGTTCCACAATCGCCATCACCACAGGACCCATCCCCTGAGTGCCGGTGCCTAGAGCTACAGCTTTGAGTCTCAGATTTTTGCTGAGGACTAACAATGCATTCTTCTTGGCCATTCAAATTCCATAGTTATCCTAAGAAGAGGTAAAAGTCCCCCAGCTTTGTATTATTGGTTTGGCTGAAGTTTACCAGCATGGTTCCCTGTGTCCATACAAGCAGTGTCCTTTTGACCTGTGAAGGGGTACCACTCAACCTGCCCCTGGAGACTATGTAGTAGTGTCATTGTTCCATTATCCAAAATGGATCTGGGCTCTTGTCTCTATGGTTTTTGATCAGGTCCTTGGAGAAACCAGTAATTGAACAACAACAAAAAATCTCCTTGTAATTAAGCATGCAATACATGACCACAGACAAGATTATCTTCTGCCCAATTGAATGAAAAGAACTTCACATCTGTTCTTAAAGAGAAACCAATGTTAGCAAAAATTAGATAAAAATTCAAGCAAGAATATTTGTACCCTAGATTGCTGATCCAGCTGGGATTTTCACTTGTCAGGGACTCAGGGAAAAAGAAAATTGAACAGAAGAATGCCTGCTTAATCTTGTTTTTATTATTAGCAGTACCTTATAATTAAATGAGTCAAAGCTCTTCTTGGAGGACTTTAATATTTGAATCCATTTGGTTTGGGATTTGTCATGTGTGTTTTGTACATTTACAAAGCTTTATATACATACTGTGCCTGAAGGGAAATTAGTTTTTATGACAAATTCCTCACCTATTCAAAGTTTAGACAAATGAATTATTTAACAGGTGCATGTGAGTCAATCTGCACTTTTCAATAGAGATCTCTGACATAATAATTTGTGTATGTGGGTTTATGTGCCTTTCCTCTCTGATTAGGTGGCAGCCATTCAGACGGAAGTGTCCCAGAAGCAGAGGGAATGTGAGGCCGACTTGCTAAAGGCTGAGCCAGCCCTGGTGGCTGCCACAGCTGCACTCAATACGCTCAACAGGGTATGATTTCTTGGCTTGTGGGTTTCCTCAAAATAATATTCAAAGGTTATTAGAGTTTTAATAACTGAGCAAAGAATATACCCATGCAGTCGTGCAGTTTTTTGAAAGAAAAAAATACATAAAAATATTAAAATCAAAACAACCTTTGAGATCATCTTTCTAGTTCAACTTCTTTTCCCATCCAGGTGTCTGTTCCCCTACCCCTTATCCTGTGACCACATCCAACACTATGTGGTATATAATTTTATGAAATCTAGCTGGATTGCACCCAAATCCAGTTTTCAAGTTATATGTTACTTTAAGAACTATGTGAGGGATTCTTTATTTCTTCTGGAATACAAAAAGTGCCTCAACTGTAAAGCAAAACAACAAAACTGGTAAGAGACCCTCATGGTAAGAGTAATAGGAGCAAAGATATCAAGGCTGGTCCCCCCATGACTCCCAGTTTCATATTAGATAGTAGCAAGAGCTCACTGAACATTTGAATTTGAGAAATATTCTTTGTTTGCCACCAGGGTATTGTAAGAAAAAATGAAATGGTGGGCAATATTATTTTAAGAGCCAATAACTAATGTTGCCCTGGGGTTCTGCCAGGTCTAAGTTTAAGATGTAACTTTAAAAAGTAAGGGATCAGAGAAACACTCAAATTCTTCTCTGAATATTTTATTTTAAAGAAATAATTTTGGCTATGAACAGTTTTATAAGAGTTTTACAGTATTACTGTAAAACTGAAAAATTTTTAAAGAATATAAATATATCATGGTAGAATATTATTACACATTTGAATACTGCCATCAAAATATTGTTAAAGACTAGCTATCAACGTGAGAAATGTTCCTAATAAGTTAATAAAGCAGATTGTGAAATAGGATATATCACAAATTTTTTTTTCTGGTAAGACTATCCTAGTCATAGGAAAAAAAAAATTAGAAAACAATAGAAGAGTATCTGGTTATCTCTTAATATTTATCTTCTATAGAGTTGCTTCCCCAGATTTGCAGATTTTCCTCTGATCTTTATTCAGACAAAATAAGTTAATGTCACTTAAAATACAAAGTTGAGTATATTTTTAATTTTTTAAAAATTTTATGGGTCCTTTTTAGTTATACTTGACAGCATTCCTTTTGATGTAATTATATAAGCATGGAATATAATTCTAATTGGGATTCTATTCTTATGGATGTACACGATGGTGGGATTTACTATGGTGTGTTCCTGTATCATTTATTTATTTATTTATTATTATTATTATTATTATTATTATTATTATTATTATTTATTATTTCAGATTTACTTCACTATCTTTCCTTTTCCTATCTCCTCTCCCTTCCCATCATTCCCCTTTGTCTAATCTAAATATCTATGATGAAACAATCTTGGTTAGCCAATTCTCAATTATTATTAACATGTTTCAAGAATTTGCTCGTGTTCTTACTTTCATGCCCAATGATTCTTCGTAATCATTTACCAAATAAATAGTCAATTTCTCATAAGGGAGCAGAGTCAGTTTCACCATTCAATATGGTTTTGTAAGCAAGAATTTATTTTGCAGCTTATAAAATAATCATAGGAAATAACCAGTTGTTTTTTAAATCGTGTATTATGAACCTATATGTGCTTCTTATAGATACTAACTCCTGCCCCAAAGCATTTGCCCTGGTTCTTGTAATTTAACCACTGATTCCATCTGTTGAGTAAATCAGTGCTGTGCTCTGAGGGGACCAGGCAGTAGGGAAGAAGCTTCAGACTATTTGGAACCCTCCCAGTTAAGAGTCATTGAACTATAATGGAAGATGTTTCTTGCTTGTGCACATAAAGCAGAAAAATGAAACTAAGAGACACTGAACTTAAGGAATCATATTTATGGGAGGGCTTGGTTAAAATACAAATATTACATTGATGGAACTGAATCCATAAATACTTTGTAGCCTCTGTGCTTACATAATTTTCCGGCCTCTATGAGCAGGGCTTTGCAGGACAGCTATAAACCAATGGATTCCTTTTCTTGGGAGCAAAAAAAAAGGTAGAAATCAGAGAAGTGCCCAGCAGGAACTGAGCTCCCAAGGATCTTAAGGTAGAGTCCCTGGGGGGGCAATGAACTGATAAACCATGACTGGTACAATGATGGGGTGGCACTGAAGTCCAGCTTGGAAACTTGCCTCTCCAGCCTTCCCTAATCCTGTGTGTGCATCAACGTTTTCTTCAGATCAACCTCACTGAGCTGAAAACCTTTCCCAACCCACCAAATGCAGTTACCAATGTCACTGCAGCTGTGATGGTCCTCCTGGCTCCCCGGGGTAGAGTGCCGAAAGACCGAAGTTGGAAAGCAGCTAAAATTTTCATGGGAAAGGTATGGGCCCGCCTGGGAAAATGAAAGTGCTGACAGTTTCTGTATTGCTGTCCGTGCTCTGGGGTAGTGCATGATAGCAAAAGATGTTCAAGTCTAAAGAAGCCATCTTTCTGGCTGTGTGTTCTCTAGGCCTGCAGCTTTTGTTAGCCATATTGGAGGTTAGCTCGGGGTTGTGGCATACCTAAGGCAGTGCCAGCTGCAGGTGGAAGGTTGCTAATTATTTGCAAAATTATGAAAGCCGTTAAGTGTAGGAGGGAGAAAATTACATGGGTTTCTTAGGCTTGAAAAATGTTACTAATGTACAAGAAGGTGAAGCAAAGGGGCTTTTTGGTATGTGTTTTGCTTTTTCTTTTCTCCCTTTCTTTTCTTCAAAATGTGAATACCTCCTGTGCTGGGCCTGAATATTTTACCCTGGGATAGAAGAGGTTTTAAAAGTGTCCATTGCTAATTCTAACTTCATAGTATAAAGACTGAAAAAGTCAAACAGTAGGATAAATGCTGCTTGCCAATTTTGCCTTTGTAATGTAAGTCCTAAAAGCTGGTTTTAACTTTTGATCTTGGAATTTTCTCTGCATCCAAAATGGGTTCATTGCAATAAGTCTTTTTGCTTTACAGGTTGATGATTTTTTGCAAGCGTTAATTAACTATGACAAAGAACACATTCCAGAGAACTGCCTCAAAGTGGTGAATGAACAGTATTTGAAAGACCCAGAGTTCAATCCAAACCTGATTCAGACCAAATCTTTTGCAGCAGCTGGTCTCTGTGCCTGGGTTATCAACATCATTAAATTCTATGAGGTATCATTCCTAATCTGATGATTTACAGGCATTATCCACGTAGGGCCATAAGAATCAATTTCCACATCAGCAGAAAATGTAATTTGATATTTAGTTTTCTAAAGAAGGATATGCACTTTTAAGAAGAAGATATGAATGTGTTCAAGTTAACAGAATTCTATATAGGAGGATATTTTAAATGTTCAAAACTGTCTTTTTTTAAGAGTAAAATAATTAGCCACTCTAGATCAAAGAGCAGCAATTAATTTGATTTCAATTAGAGAAAAATTTGTTGCATGTATAAATCATGTTTATTTACATTAAAATATTTGATTCATGTTGACATGAAATAACTGCAACTCTGAATTCATGTTGAATTAAATCCCTGCTCTCAAGGCAAAAATACACGCAATCTTTATTGCAGGCATACTGAGATGAGGAAATAACTATTTGTTTCTTTTAGTATTTTAATGACAAACAGTGTTTTACCTGTAGATAGTCTAATCTGAAATTTGCAACATAGATAGATTATCATTTCTTTCATTCATTGATCAAATACTTATCAGCCAGCTATGTTCTTAACTCTTTGCAGAGTACTGAAAAGGAAACTATAACCCATGACTATGAGGAACTGTCTCAAGATTCTGAGACGTATGTTGTATTCAGATATGGAATTATAAAGAAAAAGTCAATTGTAGTTAATGTCATTCCTCAAGTGGTTTCCATAAAATAAGGTTATATCCTTCACACTGTGGAACCCCAGGAGCAGGACTTTGTTGATCTTTCTCTCATGGAAATCTTTTAGCCCAAGAGTTTACAGTAGGTGTATAGCGTCTCTCCATAATAAAATGCCTAAGCACTGTGTTCCATTGGTGAAAAGATGAGCACAGATCTGAACTATAGCTACGTTGTGTTGCTATAAATAAAGACAAGTTGACTTCCTTGGTCCACTCAAATTCTTAAATGGTTCCTTGAAATAACACATACTTAAAACAGGTGCTTCAAAAAGAAAGTGAAAGTGAATGTGTGGTTCATTATGTGCAAGAACATCTCCCACTTCCGGTGTTCAGAGAATTTCTCCATGCTTACTTTCTGCCTCAGAGTCTAGATTTAATCACAAATTTAGCTGTGTTTCATGCACCTGCACTTTCTAGTTATAGGAGGATTATCTCCATATTTGATAAAAAAAAATCTTAGAATATTCATGGAGTTTGACCTCTAGAGCATTCTATGCAAGTACTTGTAACTCTAAGGTCCAGAATAAACAAGTAACCAATGGAGATCCAGAGAGAGAGTGGGAGGCTTTGTCTACTTTTCCTTAGCTGATGCCATGGTAAAGAAACAGCAAATTACTTGGTAAACTAGAGATTTTATTTGCGGAGTGCTCAGCCTATGTAAGGTCAAGTGATTATTCTTCCCATTCGCATCTGTATTGCCTTCTGAGTTAAACCCCACGTGGATTTTCAGGTCTATTGTGATGTCGAACCAAAACGCCAAGCATTAGCCCAAGCAAACTTAGAACTGGCGGCAGCTACTGAAAAACTTGAGGCCATCAGGAAAAAGCTTGTGGTAAGTGCAAAACATGAATCTAAAGAAGTTCCCACTGCCTCCTTAGGAACCCTTCTTCAGACATGGTTATGCGTAAGCTCTGCCCAACAGAAAGGAATTGGAGCTTCATGAATGTTTTCCCTTAGGTACCCATTCAATAGATGTTTCTGATAGGTGAAGTGCTGGGCACTGACTGGAAAAGTGGAAGCAGTCATGGTGTCTGCACTTAACTAATTTTCACAGTCTGGTAGGAGGAGGAAGGCAGGTAGCATGTGGGGCTTGAAAGCCCAGCTCCTCTAGGTGCGGTGGCACACGCCTGTAATCCCAGGGGCTCAGGAGACTGAGACAGGAGGATGGAGAGTTCAAAGCCAGCCTCATCAAAGAGAGAGGCACCAAGCAACTCAGTGAGTCTCTGTCTCTAAATAAAATGCAAAATAGGGCTGGGGATGTGGCTCAGTGGTCCAGTGTCCCTGAGTTAGCCCCCCAAAATATAAAAAAAAGTCCATATCCTGGCTCCATGATTTCTACTGGTCTATATCTTGGCTCCATGATTTATTGTTTCACCCCACGCAAGTTGTTTAACCTCTCTGAACTTCCATTTTCTCATCTCTGAAATAGGTACAGATTAAGCATTCCTTATTCAAAATCCAAAATGCTCCCAAATTCAAAACTTCTTTGGAGTTAAAGAAGTTTTTGGCTACCTGGCATCCAGTCTGTCGCCTTTAAGGGAAACCAGCCAGATATATCTTTGGAGAATTTTCTCTTATCACTAGATATGCTCAAGTGGGTGTTTTTAGCAGGATTGCCCTTCTCTGTTCTACCTATCAAGCTTTGTCAATTAAATTCCCCCCATCTCTCAAATTTGAATGATGGGCAGAAGGAGTAAAAGACTGAGAACAGTATTTGTACCTTTTACAGACTGTGTTCAGATAAGACTCGAGCAGTTCCTGTCTCCAAGTCCCCAAGCTTCTTGAAGGTTCTTTGCCTTTCCTTCCCCCCAGAGAGCTTTCCCATGTTCTTCCAGTAAATTCCCTTTAGGTCAAATAAGCTAGAGGGTTTTTTTTTTCCACCATGACCTAAGGTATCTAGATACTCTGCAGTGTATAGCACACAGTGGATGTTTTGTAAATATTAGTTCCTGCCCTTCCTGTTGAAACCTCTTATGTAGATGTTCCACTGTCAGGACTGGAGTTTGACAGAGAAGCCTGACTCAGGAACTTATATTTGGAAATTGTTGGCATAAAGATCATATGTGTAGAAAGATTGTCCTGTAGGAATGTGAGGACAAAGGAGCAGAGGGGGCTGAGGGTAGATGGCAGGGAGGATGTTCCTTATTCGGACTTTGTCCTGCCGTAGATACCTGAGAATATGAATGCAGCAGCCACTGAAGTCTAGAATCTGGTGCGTGCAGTAGCCACATAGCTACATCAGGCCTCTTTCAGAACAAGGCTGGAACTAGACCTACTTATGTGTGAACTCACTAGTCAATTGGGCAGAAAGGGAGGGGACTCCTAATAGCCCTAGCCTCCAATGTTTCAGAGCAAAGCTATTAAAAGCCAAGGAGGAGATCAACTTTCCAGATCAGAGCGCAAGACACTGACTCCTTGAATATACCAGAAAGAGATTGATTTGTGCTCTCATTTTACTGTTGGGTAATTATATTTACATTACGATTATTTAAATCTCAGAATCTTTCTCCTATGATACATACAATTTTAACACCTCTTGCAACCATCGACTCCCCCTTATTTTTTGAGTCTGCTTCCAAGAGACCTTCCTGATCCACACTCTCTGCACAGGCAACTTGACCCCCTACCCACCCCCACACACACACACTCTCTTCCTGTTTACTAGGTACCTCTTCCTAGCAGAGCACCAAGCATGCTTTTCAGTGATACCTGATGACTGGTTGAAGAAAAGCAGATTGACAGCAACAGCATCTGATTTGGACATGTCCAGGATACGCATGTTAACTTTACAAAAGTCATCCTCATTCATTGGTCAAAACTGGATTTTCTCTAGAAAAATGTTGCATCTACTGTTAGTGACTTTGGTAAAAATTAGAAGCAATCTGATGTTCATAGGAAAAGTGCTGAGGATGCTGAAGACAACCATGAGTTAAATCCAAAGTTAAGACTTTCTGTGTTTGCACAACTAGTCATTCTTTGGACATAGCTACAACTAACTGGAAAGAACTATTCACACCATGTGTTTTCAGAAACCCGCAGAATAAGCAGAGGGTCATTTATCAGCCTCATAATTAAGTTATCAGAGAAAAGAAATACAAAATAATAGTTGAATTGACTTTTTGAAGAAAAAGTTCCCCTGCCCAAAGTGGAGATCAAGAGAGGAGTTACAAATGCAGCAGAATTCTGGCTGCAATTCCCTCAAGGGTCCAAGACCCTCTCAAGGCTACGTGGCTGGTCAGGCTAAGGACAAGGTAACTTTGCACAGTTTTTCTGTTGGCACACAGTATGAACTAGAGATCTCAGCCCAAGTGAAATTATAGTTTTTGCTAGCTTTCATTTTCTCCAGCGTTTCATTTCTCCTCCTCAGCTTTCCTGCTTCCTAACCTGTATCTCCTGCTGCCTTCTTACCTAGGACAGTGGGGGTATGTCTGATAGGAACAGCAGTACTGTCATGAAAAAATGATAATACCAGGGTGTTAATCTCTGTGCAATTGTTCTTTTGAGTTTCTAGTTTTAGATTCAAGGACAGCCTCATATTGAAGGTTGAGTGGAAAAAAAAATTTTTTTGCTAAGCTTTGTAGAAGAAAGGACATTGGGCTAGGGATATAGCTCAGTAGGTAGAGTGCTTGACTTGTATGCACAAGGCCCTGGGTCCTAATCCCCTATACCATAAAAAAAAAGGCTATCATGTGTCTTAAATGGAGCCTAAGAATGGCAATAAAGAAAATCTAAAACCAATCTCTTTAGGGTAGTATTTCTCAAAGTTATTCCCTGGACCAGCAGTAGCATCAGTGTTTCACAGGAACTGCTTAAAAGTAGATTCCAGACCCAGCCTTGATCTACTGAGTCAGAAACTTTGGCAGTGCAACCCTGGAATCCAGATTTTAACATGCCTTCCAGGTAGTTCTGTTGCGTGTTGTTTGATAATCACTAATTTAGGGGATCTGGATAGCTAGAGTTCTTGAATTGAGTTCTTCCATCTTTGATCCATTTATTTCTAGAAACTTGAAGCTAGAGTCTGTCAAGAACTGGGAAAGGAACAGAATTTTACCCTCCTGGCAAGCTAACAAGGTTAGATACCACAATTTCACATATACTAATAGACAACATGGGACTTGTGAGTCAGAGAGGAAAGGATTTTATTACTCTGACAGCCAGCAGAGTGGACTTCATGTTTCCACCCACCTGTTACTTTTTCTTGCCTCCTGACTCCTGTGGGAGTAATGTTCTCAACTTTCCACAAAACTGTTTGGAGACAGGCTAATAGGTTTTTTTGTTTGCTTGTTTGTTTTTTGCTTTTAACATATTAAAGAATAAAATCTACTCCTTGCTCATAGGCCATTCAAAGACTGCTAGCAGGCTAGATCTAGTCTAGGGGCCATACTTTGCTGATCTTTGCTCTATACTAATATTGAAGACTATTTGGGATCTTGTGTTCTCTTACCTGCCCGTTTTCCCTGATTCTCCTAGGTCTGGCTTGGACTTTATTTCTCCATGAAGTTCCCCTAATGACCACCAGTTTCTCTGTTACGACATATAACTAGTGCATTAGAGCATGGCTTACCCGAACATACAGACTATCATTTCCACACTAACCCTGAGTTTCTTAAGGTCTTTAGTGTTTTATGCCTGGTATCTGACACATGGGAGATACCAAAAAAATTATTAGTTAAATGAACAAACAGATACCACACCTTATTTTACTTTTTTCCCTGCCTTTGGTACTGGGGATTGAACCAAAGGGTGCTTTACCACTGAACTACCCTCCCAGACCTTTTTATTTTTGAGACAGAGTCTCACTAAGTTGCTAAGGATCTCATTAGGTTGTTGAGGCTGTCCTTGGACTTGAAATCCTCTTCCTCAACCTTCCAAATCACTGGGATTACAGATGTACACCACTGTGCCTGGGTCACACCTTATATTTTAACTAAAACATTAATTTGTTCTGCTTGAGAGACTCAATATTCAGTTCAATAAATACACATTTTAAAACAGTGGACTGGGCAGTCCAGAGAGCTAAATAAGGCTTAGTCCTCACTCTGTAAAATCTTATAGTGAATTTAATAAGTGCTATTTCATTTACTTGATGCAGTCAAGAGAGATTGCATTGTCTACCATTGAAGTATAAAGAATAGAGTGGTCAATTCTACATATAGAGATGAGGGTGGGGGATGCTCAGGAAGAATTTGGTGAAGCAGTTTTTTTCCCCCAAATTGAATCTTGAAAGATGGATAAATTTGGACTGGAAGATGGGGGTAGAGCATCCATGAAGGTACTATGGAAGAGAGACATGTGTTCTGTGGACAATGAGCAGCTTAGTGTGGCTAAAGAGTAGAGTATGGGAGTTGGTGAGTGGGGGTCATTTTGGTGAAATGGGAGCAAGGGGTAAAATTACCCCAGAACTTGCGCAAGGGATGAGGTAAATAGGCATTGTATTGGTGAGGAGATACCTAGCTTTATAATGCCTTTTAATGCCCCTACCCAAAACCAATTACAGACAGTCATGAATACTAATGATATTTTCTTTTAACCAGGTTATGGACAAAGCTTAGGGCCCTAGAATAGATTATCCTCATCATGAATCTGCAGGTCAAAATCAACAACCAATACTGTCACTTGTGGAGAGTCAATGAGGGTCTGTAGCTGGGGAACAGGAGGGATAAATGGGCCATTTTGGCTTTTGGAAAGATCATTCCAGGACAAGGGGAAGAGACAGGAAGCAGGATGAAAGTGAATGAGGGGAGCAGAGTGAAATGAGAGATGGTGAAGGAAAGGATTAGATCCAGTTCCTAAGAGAGCACAGGAGGATGATCCCTGAAAGAGATGGGAAATTGTTAGGTGAGAGAGAGCCAAGAGAGAATGAGATTGCAGGAACAAGGGGAGTGGAAATTCTAGGAGGAAGAGAGTCACCTCCAGGAACAGGTACCACAGGGTACCTGTGCACAGTCTCTGAAGCCACACAGAGGCTAAGTTCCAACTTAGTATTTCAGTACCTCCCAGCTGTGGGATGTTAAGTGACTAACTTCACTTTGTTGGCTCTGGTTTCCTCATCTGTAAAATGGGGAAATCCCTCATGGACTTATAGGACAAGTCAAGTGAGAGAACACAGGGCAAGTACTTAGAATAGTGTCTGGCATGTGCTAAAAGAGCATTAATTGTTGCTTATTAAAGTAGTTATTAAAGGATACAGGATGAGCATCTCTAATCTAAAATACCTGAGACTGAAAGTGTTTTGGATTTCCAATTTTTTTAATTTTAGGATATTCATATATACATAATGGAATATTTTAGGATGGGGCCAAGTTTAAACATGAAATTCATTTATATTTTACATACACCTTATTTATACATATAGGCTAAAAGTAATTTTATACATTTTTTTAAATGTGCCTACTTTTTGACTGTGAGCTATCCCTTGAGGTCAGGTGGACAGTTTCCCCTTCGGATTTCCATATTTGGGATGCTCATCTGTGGGTTTTAAATTTTTTTTTTCATTTTTTCCCCACAATGATTAGCATATGGATGAAATAATAATAGTTTCACTGGTGGTTCTTACCAGATTTGTTGCAGTAAAATGGTAGAGGAGAACAAAAAAAAAATGATTGGAATAAAGGTCAGATTGAAATTGGTTAAAGAGATAATGGGTGGTAAGAAAAGACAAATAACAAGAATAGGGATTTTTTTTTTTTTTCAGAGAAAAATTGGAGGGGGAGGGATAAAAGTGAAATTAAGACCCTCTGCAAAAAGGTTCTGAAAGCCTAATTTTATCTTAGAGTAACATCATCTGATGATTACCTATTTGCTTTGAGCTGTTGTGTGCAAAGCATGTACATTTTGTACACTTATTTTTATATTAAATTGATTGATCTGTACCACCTGGATTCCCTTCAAATCTCTGAAGCAGAGCTAGTGAGTATAAACTCAAGCTAACAACTGAACTTTCCCTCAAAGAAAGTAATAGACTTTCATGTTTCTGCTTGCTGTTTATCATAGCAAATTATTTCTGGTAAACTTTCCTCAGAGTTACATACCAAGGGCCAAATTTTACCCAAATATTTGTCATTAGTGGATTATGTTCCAGCTAAGTGAAGAGACCAACCAAATGAAAATTTGTGTTCCTTTTTGGGGGTTGGAGGAGTAGTACCAGAGATTGAACTCAGGAGCACTAGACCACTCAGCCACATCCCCAGCCCTATTTTGTATTGTATTTAGAGACAGGATATCACTGAATGGCTTAGAGCCTTGCTTTTGCTGAGGCTGGCTTTGAACTCGCCATCCTCCTGCCTCAGCCTCTTGAGCCACTGGGGTTATAGGCCTGTGCCACTGCGCCCAGCAGAATTTGTGTTCCTTTTAAAGAAAACTTCAGTGTTACTTCAGTACACCAACCTGACTTTCACCACATGCTTACTGAATGCTCTGTGCCCTGTTTCATGTGCATTAATGTACTTAATCCCACAAAAGCTGTATGAGGTATGTATAAATAGTAGTTCCATTTAACAAATAAGGAAATGTGAAACTCACAGAATGTGAATGGTGGGTTCAAAGTTCTGTGGCTCATAGAGGCAAAGAGGAACTAGACTCGAGCCATTTTAAACCCAATGTGAATACTCTTAACCACACACTATCCCAAGCTTAATAGTGCTATTTTTAATAAAAATTAATATATTCTAATGTCTGAGTTCATTCTTTTAAAATAACTGGGTCCTCTACACACAAGCCTTTCATCTTTCCTCATTCTCCAGAATGGTTTCATCTGCTCTCCTGTGCCCCTGGTGGAAAGTGGTCTTCCCCTAAATGTTGCCCCTCAAAATACACATATCTTTCCATTTTTTTTAATTTTTATTTTTTAGTTGTAGATGGACACAATATACTTATTTCATTAATTTATTTTTAAGGGGTGCTAAGGATTGAACCCAGTGCCTCATGCCTACAAGGCAAGCACTCTACCGCTGAGCTACAGCCCCAGCCCCCACCCCCTCCCAGGTTTTTATAAGACAATGGATTACCTCTGAGTTGCAATCCCATGTTTCCAGAGTAGAAAATCTGATAGGATGAATCAGGTCAGGTCTGAAGGGGCTCAATAAGTCACATCCCTTTTCACTACCTACATTATGAATCAAATGAGAAGAGTCAATAGGTTAAGAAACGCAGATCACCCTGGACATAAATAAAGCTGGTACTGGAGAAGGAGGCTTACACAGGACAGCAGAGGGTGATGGTGTACCCATAATGCATGAGTCTTAAGAGCACATCACTTGCTTCAGTCTCTCTCTGTACTCTGCTGAATGGAGAAGGAAGATAAGATGATCACATGGTGATCTGATAGTCTGCGGAGGCTCTGACATACTGTCATGACTGTATCCTCCTCCTCCTTTTCCTCCCCTAAAATATGTATGGTCAAAGAGCAAAGGAGAAAAAGCAGTTTGTTTTTCTTCAAGATAACAGATAATGACTGTACTATTTCTGTTTTAACTAAAAATGACTCAAGTTAACTTTGATTCTTATTCAGGATCTGGATCAAAATCTGAGCAAACTCACGGCTTCATTTGAAAAAGCAATAGCAGAGAAAGTCCGATGTCAAGAAGAGGTGAACCAAACCAACAAAACCATTGAACTAGCCAACAGACTTGTCAAGGAACTTGAGGCAAGATAACTTGTTCTTCTAAACTTTTCACTAAACATTCAGTTCAGCTTCTTTGGGTTGTATTATTTACTCACCATCAGTTATGACTAAGAGGAGAGTGAGTCAACAATAAATGGGAATAGGTAGTCACCACTCACACAGTGGGTCAAAATGGCCAGAAGGAAGTGACCAATCCTTTGTTTTATAGAAAAGAAAACATCAGTTACAATGTTTTTTTAACATAGTAAATTCAGTGTGACTTCAGCGTAGTTTTCAACAAAAGCAGGAAGAAGATATGCTCTTGTCAGAATTTAATTGTTTTGTATCCCTTGTAAAACAGGTACACCAGCTGTAGGTAGGTATCTACTTATTTTTTTTCTCTCCTTTCTTTTTAAGGACATTATGAAATCCTTTAAAAACAAAAATAAAGCCTGTCATAATATGTTATAAAACTCAGGACAACTAATAGGTAATTGTGATACAGAACTGTTGATCCTTTTAATATACATTTGCATTGAATTCTACCAGCAGACCATGACTTTTAAACCAAATCTGATTGATTTATGTTTTTGTTGCTACATTTTTTTATAAGTGACTGACATGCTAATATTAAGAGTAATTCCATAAGATAAATATTTTTAAATAATTCTCAATTTTTTTCCTGTATGAACATATGGTCTTTGACATAAATAAGTCACAAAAATTAAGATTTTACTTGCTTTATCATGTGGTATTAAACAATTCGGGCAAGTCTCTGAGCCTCTTCAACTTTGTTTTCTTTTCCATAAAATGGGAATGTGGATAATACCTACCTCACAAAGTTGTAATGAGTCTTGAAAGAGATAATGCCTATTCAAGTGTTTTCTGTCAGAAAGATAAATAATCCAAAAAAGAGATGGTCAAAGGATTGGGTAGACATTTCTCATCAGATTACATGCAGGTGGCCTGTAAGAACTTGAAAAGATGTTCAGCTTCATTTGCATTTCCTACTGCAGAACTACAAGGTGACCACTTTCATATCTTCTGTGATGATGATAATAAAAAAAAATCTTCGGCAGTATCAAGTATTTTTGGGGAACTAGAGAAAGTAAAATTCTACATACATTGCTGGTTGGAATGTAAGATGGCTCAGCCTCTGGAAAAGCTTGGTAGTTCCTCAAAATATTAAATATGAGGTAACTATGTGATTCAGTAATGCTATACGTATCCAAAAGAAATGAAAGCAAATGCCCACACCAAAACTCTACTGCCATTGATCATTGCAGCATTATTTGCAAGACCTAAAAGTTGAAACAATCCAAATATCTAGCCTCTGATGAGTGGATAAATAAAATATGGTTTATTCATACAGTAGATATTATACAGGTATAAAAAGGAATGAGTATTGATACATGCTACAACATTGATGGCCCTTGAAAACAACATACTAAGTGAAAAAAGTAAGACTCAAAAGGCTGCATATTGCATGATTTCATGTGTACAAAATGCTCCAAATAGGCAAATCTATAGATACAGAAAATACACTAGTGGTTAGAGGGGCCTGAGAAACAGGTGGAGTCCAGGGAGTGACTGCTCATAGACGAACAATTTTTCTTTGTGGTGAGGAAAATACTTTAAAATTAGATCGTGGAGATGATTGCCCAAGTCTCTAAATATACTAAAAACTACTTAGTTGCATATTTTAAAGGGTGATTTGCCTGGTGTAAGAATCATATCTCAGTAAATGTATTATTTTAAAGCATAAAGTATATAACTGCACTATTAGCATATAAAAAGTATACAACTGAAAAAGTATATCATGAAGTATCTAACAAATAAGTTTATAACTATATTATTAGAACTACATTTAGCTGGTAAGTGTATAACTGCACTCTTAGAAATGTGTTTCCATAGCAATGATAGAAAACTTGATTTACAGTGGCTTAAGCAAATAGAAGTTTATTGCCAAAAATGCTAGGGGTAGACCATCATATCATTGTTGATTTAGGTGATTAATGGTCAAATACCAACCTCTCCTGCTGTACCTCTTAGCACGTGGACATTTACCCTCATGCATTTTGCCTCATGGTCCCAAGATGCCTGCTACACCTTCAGATTTCTCAAGAGGAGGAAGGAAGCCTGCATCAGCTGGGTTTTCCTCTTTTGATTAAAATTTAAAAAGAAGAAAACCTTGAAGTTTTCATAGAGACCTCGCTAGCAGACTCCCACTTAAGTTTCTTTAGCCAGAACCAGATGTACAGTTCCTAACTGCAGAAGGGCCTGGGAAGGTGGGGTAGTGATTACTTCAGTCAATCACAGTCCTTCTCTTGAGACTGGATTCATTACCACCCAATTCAGAATGATGGTTCTCTTAGCAAGCGAGGAGAGAAAAATGTGTGTTGGGATGGTTGAACTGGTGATAGCCTACTTTCTCATATATTTAGGATTTTAAAAATTTAATTTAAATTTGCCACAAATTTAACCTTCTCTCCCCAACATTCTGAAACTGGTAGTTCATGGTATATAAACCTAGTTAATTCTGTAAAATGTGTTATTTTTTTCCATTTCAATAACTACAGGTCTTTTATTCCAAGTTTTCTAGCCAAAAGCTTTTGAATTACCCTTAGCTTTTTGCCCTTTATGACAAGCCACAGGGAATTCATTGGCATATCTTACTGGCCCTACCTTGGAAGTCCATTCAGAATCTCACCACCTCTCACTCCCTCCATACCCAGTGCTGGTCCACACCACCAGTATCCCACCCTCTAGTACCTCTCTGGCCTCCACCATTACCCCCTAATGTGCATTCCTCTCATTGCAGCTGAGCAATACCTTGAAAGGTCCATTCATGTCACCATGTTGCTCAGAACTCCCCAATAACTAACCACTTCACTCAGAACAATCCACAGGTTTTAAACACCCTGGGAGGCCATATGTGATCTGGCTGCTGGGTGCCTCTCTCCTCCGCTCTGCTCCTTTCCCTCTTGCTGCTGCTCCTCTGGTCTTCTCACCGTCCTCACACAGTTGCTGTCCTGTCTATGGCCTTTGGCTTTTTCTTCCACACAGCTTCCCCCTTCCCAGATGTCATGTCACTGACTCCCCACTTCTTCAGTCTCTGCCAAAAGTTACACTTATCACGTGGTCTCCTCAGACCTCCCTAAACAGAACACCCACCCTGCCGTCTCTATACACACACACACACGCACACACACACACGCACACACACACACACACACACTGCTCTGCTGCCCTCTTACACTTACTCAGCATTACATTTTTGTACCATGGATCATCGCGTGACAATTACAGATGTACATATACACACACACTTATTAACCCTCTTCCCCCACTAAAATATAAGCACTCAAGAACAAGAGCATCGTATGTTTTGTGAGTCACTTGATCCCAGGCACAGAGATTAGTCCCCAGCGTGTCACAAGCATCAAGAGTTATCTGCTGAAAGAATGAATGGATGCATTTTGGAAATCTCTTGTGTTTTGTTTTGTTTTGTTTTAAATTATGGAGCCCTTTGAAGACACATTCTTTAAGTCAGTTGAGAAATTTTACTCCTCCTAATAGGCACTACTACTCTCATTTAATTTGGTAAGATTTAAGCCCTTGAAAGCCCATCTATGAGGTACCTGAGAAAAAGAAGTACGTAGACTGTTTCTGAAGTGGTTATAGAATACCTGCGTTTTATCAAGGCTAAAGCAGGCTTTCCCCTTTGTCTCTCCCACATGGCCATATTTCCAAAGGCTTTGCTTTCTTGTGATGATTTAGACAATGACGGGGGGGGGGGGGGGGAAGCTTGTGTGTTGTTAACTAGGAAAAAATATATTTTTGAAGGATTAATTGAAGTTGTCAGATCTTTTCCTTTGAGGATAAATTCTTTCTGACTAGAACAGGAGACAGTTAACTTCTGAAAAACATCAAGACTGATGATTTTGTCTATATAGCATTGACCTGGAAGCTCAACCATTCAGACTAATAAATCAGGCAATTTATATTTAATCATTAACTAACTCCTGAGCTGAACAGCTGTTCAAAATTAGAAATGGGTCACCCCGGCCAGGACGACATTACGGGCAATCTATAATGCATTAGAATAAAATTACAGTGATTTTTAACTGTCTAGAAATTTATTACAGGACATGTTCCAACTCTTAAACCCTTGTTAGCCAGTGTCAGTAATGATTTATGTTGTGTGGGTGGTATAGTGAAATTATCGACGATTTCAATAGCCAATAAGTCTATGTTTAGTAAATCTTCAAATTTCAAAGCTGTTGTGGAGAATGAGGTGGGTGCACTTTATTGTTTATCATTTACAAACCAAAGACAACAAAGATGGAGGGTAGGCAAATGAGAGATTTCTCTGGAAAATTAATGGGCATGTTGTCTGTAGTGGAAAAAGTGATAAATTCTAAAAAGAGGACCAGAGAGCTGGAGTTCCTCAGCATTTAATTATATAGCAAACTTGGGGTGATCTCTATCAAGGAAAGCAAGGTGACACCTTAAAACAGCTTCGATAACCATTTCACATTCTGATCTCATGACCCCAGCATCCTAGGTATCAGGATGTCTTTCAGGAAACTGACATTTCAATCTGTTCTGACGTACATCATTTTGGGGTTCTGTGGACTTTCCTCTTTCACGAGAAAAGCACAATCCTTCAAGTTCCTGTTTTGCTTATACTGGCAAATTGCTGATTTTTTTTTCAGGTTCTATTAATTTCCATGTTGCTAGAATATTATACTAATTTTTAGCACGCCTTGATATAAAGTGAATTAGTGAACTATCCTGCAGTTCAGGCAATCCATACACATTTATTTCAGTTTTATTCAAATCCAATATTAAGGGCTCCACATACTTAACCTGTAAATCAGATCTTAAATGACCAACCCTCTAGATATAAGGACTTCAGTATTCTTTGAGTGTACTGTCTTCAAGGTTAGTGAAGTCCTGATTTCCATCTTTTTACATAGGTCATAGCTCCCTCCACTGATTTAATGATTATATTAGAAAAATAACCTTTAGTAACTACTGGCATAATTCTTTAATAGAATTTGAGATAGATGGCTATTTAAGCTTCATGTTTTAATTAGTTAACATGAATGATATTTGTCATTTTCTTTGCTATAATCGGTCCACTGAGCTTGTTTGTTAATGGGGAAAGGATACATCTAGGTCCATGTAGTGTTATTGCTGAAAAGTGCAAAGAATGGAGAACAGCTACACCGACATCCACAATCCTAACATCACTCATTCTTAGCCATAGCCTTTGGCCCTCCATGCTCAGACAGAGAAGTAACTGTCTTCCTCTCAAGAAGAACCCCAATCATGATTAAAGAGCAGGGCATCCAACTCTTGCTAAAGGAGATGTTAAACAACAAATGTCACATGGTACTAAAGTCAACTGAAGAGAATAAAACTATTTGGTTTAAAACACATGACAGTTTCAGCAGTCATGCTAACTGTTTACGATTTGCTCCTTCCAGAGATGGTACAGGGTGCCGCAGTCTTAAACTGTGCTATAAGGTAACTGCATTAAGTATTTGTTGATTTGACGCTCTTACTGCAATTACATGTGGATGATTTTATTGTTCAGTCAGAGAAGATTCGCTGGGGTCAGAATATTAAGTCCTTTGAAGCTCAAGAGAAGACGCTGTGTGGAGACGTCCTCCTTACCGCAGCATTTGTGTCTTACGTGGGGCCCTTCACCAAACAGTATCGTCAGGAACTGGTGCACTGCAAGTGGGTCCCATTTCTTCAACAGAAGGTGAGTTCAGCTCTTTATCTTGTCACCTTGTGGAAGCATCATATGGAAATTCTAGTAGTAAGAAAAAAAATATATATGCTAGGAACTTTTGTTACCCCTCTTATGGTAACTGACAGAGAGTTCTCCTGTGAAGATGTTCCTGGTATGTTGCACAGCTTCTGTTTTTAACAATGATTTCCACAGATAGGTGAAAAGTAATCATATAGAGTTATGGTTAGAAAAGTACATTTAACAAGAATGATAGAAATCAAATTTGGATTATATTACTGAATGGCACAAAATTTTGTTTTCTTACTGATATGGGTTATTTGTTAAGGATTTGCTTTTATTATAACTATTATCACATATTGAACTAATTAATGGGATTCGTTGTGCTGTTTTCCTATGTACACACATACATCACCCTTCTAACCCCGCTCCTTTGCCTCAGCACCCTTTCCAGTCCCTATGCAATAGTAATCCCTTTTCTACTTCCATCTCTTGTTTTGGGGGGGCTTTTGTTGTTTAGTTTCCACACAACAGAGGATATGAGATATTTGTCTTTCTGTGTTTGCTTATTTTGCTTAACATGTTGTTCTCCAGTTTCTTCCATTTGCCTGCAAATGACAGGATTTCATTATTTATAGCTGAATAGTACTCCATTGTATGTATATATACCATATTTTCTTCATCCTCTCATTTGCTGATGAGCATTTAGGCTGACTCCATATCTTGCCTATTGTGAATAGTGCTGCAATAAGCATGGGTATGCAGGTGTCTGTCTTGTATGTTGACTTCATTTCCTTCTAATGTATACCCAAGAGTGGGATAACTGGATCTTATAGTAGTTACATTTCTAGTTTTTTGAGGAACCTCCATACTATTTTCCATAGTATCCATATTAATTTACATTCTCACCACCAGTATATATGGGTTCTTTTACTCCACATCTTCACCAATATTTGTCATTGTTGGTGTCGTTTATAGTAGCCATTCTAACTGGGGTGAGATGGGATCTCAATATTTTTGATTTGCATTTCTCTGGATAATGATAATGAGCATTTAAAAAAATATTTCTTGGCCATTTGTATATCTTTAAGAAGCACCTATTCAGATCTTTTGCCCATGTTTAAAATGGATTGCTTGTTATGGTTTTTTGTTTGTTTGTTTTTTATTCCTTTAAAAATTCTGGGTATATAACCCTCTGTCAAATGATTAGCCAGCAAATGTTTTCTCCAATTCTGTAGTTAATATCTTCAGCTCTGATGATTGTTTCCCTGGCTCTGCAGAATCTTTTTAGTTTGATCTTATCCACTTTGTCAATTTTTACTTTTTTCTCCTGTACTTTGAGTCCTATCCAGAAAAATCACTGCTTGTACCACTATGTTGAACTATTTCCCCTTACATTTTTCTGTGGTGGTTTCAGAGTTTCAGGTGTTACATTAAGGTCTTCGATCCATTTCAAGTTGATTTTTGCTCAGTGTCAGAAAAACGAGTTCAGTTTTAATCTTCTGCATGTAGCCACGTGCAGTTCATTCTCTTTCTCTCTCCGGTTCATTCTCTCTCCCTCCATATCCCCGCCCCCAGCTAAAGGTTTCTCAATCTTTTCAAAGAACCAACGGTTTCATTCATCCTTTATAATTGTTCTCTGGTACTCTGCCATTTCTCCTCTGATCTTTATCATTTCTTTCCTTCTATTAATTTGGGGTTTGATTTGTTCTTTTTAAGACATTGAGATGCACCATTAGGTTGTTTATTTGATCACTCTCTATTTTTTTTTTTAGGTAGTCACTTATTTCCCCAATCTTCTCTCTTAGTACTGATTTTATTGAATCCTACAACTTTTGAAATGTTCAGTTTTAATTTGTTTCAAGAAATCTTTAAATTTCCCTTCTGATTTCTTCAATATCCCACTATTCATTCAAAAGTGTGTTGTTCATTTATGTGTTTGTATAATTTGTGTGTGTGTGTGTGTGTGGTGTTGGGGATTGAACCCAGGGCCTTGTGTATGCAAGTCAAGTACTCTGCCAACTGAGCTATAGCCCCTGCCCTGTGTTTGTATGATTTTTAAAGTTTCTCTCAATGCTGATTTCTAGTTTCAACCCATTGTGATCCAAAAAGATATATGATATGGTTCCAATTGTTTTTGAATTTGTTACGACTTATTTTGTAGCTCAGTATATGGTCTGTTTCGAGAAAATTGTATGCACTCATGAAAAGAAAAACTGTGTATTTTGCAGCTGTTGGATGGAATGTTCTATAAACATGTATTAGGGCCTGGGGGCTCAGTGGTAGAATACTTGCCTACTATGTATGAAGGCCCTGGGTTTGGGCCCTAGCTCCTGTAAATATCTGTCAAGCCCATTTGATCTATAGTGTTGTTTAAGTCAGATGTTTCTTTGCTGGATTTTTTTGGTCTGGGGTATCTACCCATTGGTGGGAGTGGGTATTGAAATCCTCCACTATTACTGTATTGAAGTTTATCTCTTCCTTTAGGTCTGATAGTATTTGTTTTATAAAAATGAGTGCTCTGACATTATGTGCATACAGATTTATAATTTTTATATCTTCTTGATGAATTGATCCCTTGATCATTATATTAGTGACCTTCTTTGTCTCTTCTTACTGATTTTTGTCTTAAAGTCTTTTTTGTCACATTTAAGTATAGCTACTCCTCGTTTTCAGAATCCCTATGCTTGGAATATAATTTTCCATTCTTTCACTTTCAGTCTTTGTGTCTCCTTACTGATAAGGTAATTATATTTTAGGCAGCATATTGTCGGGGCTTGTTTTTTAATCTATCCAGCCAGTCTGTCTTTTAATGGATAATCAAGTCCACATCTTCTGCTTTCAGAATAATTAATGAAAGTTATGGACTTGTGCCTGTCATTTTTTTTATTCTTCTGGTTGTTTTGAAAGTTCTTTTTTCCATTCTTCCTCTTTTATTCATCATTATGGTCTGGATGGTTTACTGTATTGATAGTGACTGATTCTTTTCGATATCTCATTTGTGTATCTACCCTTCTAGTGGGACTTGCACTTTCATTTGATATTGCAATTGTAGTTACCTTTCTTCCACTTCTGGGTGTAAGACTCCCTTAATCATTTTTCGTAAGGCTGGTCTAGTAATCATGAGTTCCCTTAATTTTTCTTATCTTGGAAAAAGTCTTTATTTCTATTGCAATTCTAAAAGACAGCCTTGCAACTATTTATTTTCAGGATTGAAATATATGCCTTACTGGCCTGTAGGGTTTCTCTGAGAAACCTGCCGTTAGACTACTGGGGTTGCCCTTAAATGTGACTTAGTGAAGATTTTAAAATTCTTTGCCCTGTACTTATGACAGTTTGACTATAATAGATCATGGTGAGAATCTTTTCTGGTCATGTCTGTGGGAAGCCATTCTCGCACGTGATTGGGCACCACCCGGATTGGGTGTGAGGCGTTCTGGCCAAACTGTGTCGGAGCTATCCCCACCCTCTCCAGGTGCGAGAGCCTGTCCGTGTGGGGGTGTGACTGACCACTGACCCTGAGACCAATCACTGACCCTGACCTTGGAATGCTGCCCCCCTTGACCTTCATTGGATGGAATTTTCCCCTCTATTTCTTGTTCCCCAATAAAAGGCCACTCCCCCGTGTGCTCTCTCTCTCTCCTGCTAGTCCTGAGTAAGCCTTGCTGGGTGGTTGGAGGTGAGAGCCGTCTCAGACCTGGTCATAGAAAAAGGTAATTGAGTCTGTGTGTGTTTATTTTGATCTCACTAGTTAACTTCTATGCCACAAACCTCTTTAATGAAACCAGCGTGCTGGTCGCCTGGTGGACATGTCTACTTGGGTCCTATAGGTTTCCTGCATTTGGATGTCCATGTCTTACCACGATGAGGGAAGTTTTCTGCTATTATTTCACAGTACAGGTTTCGGTACCTTTACCTTTTATTTCTTCCCCTTTAAGTATACTGATGATACAGATATTGATCTTTTAGTGGTGTCCTAAAGATTTTGCATACTCCTTTCACTTTTTTTTAAAACTTCTGTCTGAAGATGATATTTCAATAGACATGTCTTCAAGCTCTTCTTGAAACTCTTCTATGTCTAGTCTTTCTTCCACTTGACCTAGTCTGTTGTTGAGGCTTTCAACTGAACTCTTTATATGACTTATATAGCTCTTTATTTCCAAGATTTCTGACTGGTTCTTTTTCAAAATCTCTCTTTGTTGAATTTTTTCATTTATATCTTGCACAATTTTCCCAATTTAATTTAATAATTTATCTATATTCTGAAGTTCATTTAGATTTTTTTTAAATCATTGTTTTGAATTCTTTAGCAAGTATTTCATCCACTTCAATATCTTTGGAATCCATTACCAGAGAATTATGAATTTTAGAAGGTGTCTTATTATGGTGTTTTCAAATATTTCTTGCATTCCTATGTTGAGATTTGTGCATCTGGTGAGATTTGTGATATGGAATGGTCTTAATTAAGCAGCTTTATCCTAAAAATGTGTCCTGAGGTATAGGTTTATTTTGCAATAGAGTTTATTTCCAGCCGGGTACCGCTGTGTAATCTCTCAGTAGCTTCTTTGGCTATGATTAGCAAGTTTAGGCATGGCACGTACCATGTTAGAGAGACCCATTGTCTCTCTGGGTCATACAGGAGTGAGGACACTCTAGCAGTTCAAGCAAATGTGGTATTGACAGCAATATGGGTTGAATATTATGTGGTAACTTCTCCAGTGAGAGTAGCCCCTAAAAGTTGATGAGAATTTCCTTACGTACGGCTAATACAGGCTCTATTAATTGAATGACTCTCAGTATTGGCTGTTGCAGTGTTGGTGAGGTACCTAAGCACTTGCTGTCTGATTAGACACTTGTGTGGGTCCAGGTGCTTTTCAGGGAGAGGAGGAGAAGGATTCACAGCACCACTTTATGGCACTCACACAGTCTTGTCAGCAGTGTGTGGTCAGGCAAGTGTGGGAGCCAATGCAGGGGACACATGTAGGTGAAGAGACAGGAAAAGTTAGGTCATT